CAGATACAACAGATACACCAGATACACCAGATACAATAGATACAATAGATACAATAGATACAATAGATACACCAGATACACCAGATACAACAGATACAATAGATACAATAGATACACCAGATACACCAGATACAATAGATACAATAGATACAATAGATACAATAGATACAATAGATACACCAGATACAACAGATACAATAGATACACCAGATACAATAGATACAATAGATACAATAGATATAATAGATACAATAGATACAATAGATACACCAGATACAATAGATACAATAGATACAATAGATACAATAGATACACCAGATACAATAGATACAATAGATACACCAGATACAATAGATACAATAGATACAATAGATACAATAGATACACCAGATACAATAGATACAATAGATACACCAGATACAATAGATACAATAGATACAATAGATACACCAGATACAACAGATACAATAGATACAATAGATACACCAGATACAATAGATACAATAGATACACCAGATACAATAGATACAATAGATACAATAGATACAATAGATACAATAGATACACCAGATACAATAGATACAATAGATACACCAGATACAATAGATACAATAGATACAATAGATACAATAGATACAATAGATACACCAGATACAATAGATACAATAGATACACCAGATACAATAGATACAATAGATACAATAGATACAACAGATACAATAGATACAATAGATACAATAGATACACCAGATACAATAGATACAATAGATACACCAGATACAATAGATACAATAGATACAACAGATACAATAGATACAATAGATACACCAGATACACCAGATACAATAGATACAATAGATACAATAGATACAATAGATACAATAGATACAATAGATACACCAGATACAATAGATACAATAGATACACCAGATACAATAGATACAATAGATACAACAGATACAATAGATACAATAGATACAATAGATACACCAGATCAATGATACAATAGATACAATAGATACAATAGATTACAATAGATACAATAGATACACCAGATACATAGATACAATAGATACACCAGATACACCAGATACAATAGATACACTAGATACACCAGATACAATAGATACAATAGATACAATAGATACAATAGATACAATAGATACAATAGATACACCAGATACAATAGATACACCAGATACAATAGATACAATAGATACACCAGATACAATAGATACAATAGATACACTAGATACACTAGATACAACAGATACAATAGATTACAATAGATACACCAGATACAATAGATACAATAGATACAATAGATACAATAGATACAATAGATACAATAGATACAATAGATACAATAGATACACCAGATACAATAGATACAATAGATACACCAGATACAATAGATACAATAGATACACCAGATACAATAGATACAACAGATACAATAGATACAATAGATACACCAGATACACCAGATACACTAGATACAATAGATACAATAGATACAATAGATACAATAGATACAATAGATACACCAGATACAATAGATACACCAGATACAATAGATACAATAGATACAATAGATACACCAGATACAATAGATACAATAGATACACCAGATACAATAGATACAACAGATACAATAGATACAATAGATACACCAGATACACTAGATACAATAGATACAATAGATACAATAGATACACCAGATACAATAGATACACCAGATACAATAGATACAATAGATACAATAGATACACCAGATACAATAGATACAACAGATACAATAGATACAATAGATACAATAGATACAATAGATACAATAGATACAACAGATACAATAGATACAATAGATACACCAGATACAATAGATACAATAGATACAATAGATACACCAGATACAATAGATACAATAGATACAATAGATACACCAGATACAATAGATACAACAGATACAATAGATACAATAGATACACCAGATACAATAGATACAATAGATACAATAGATACAATAGATACAATAGATACACCAGATACAATAGATACAACAGATACAATAGATACAATAGATACACCAGATACAATAGATACAATAGATACAATAGATACAATAGATACACCAGATACAATAGATACAATAGATACAATAGATACAATAGATACAATAGATACACCAGATACAATAGATACAATAGATACAATAGATACACCAGATACACCAGATACAATAGATACAATAGATACAATAGATACAATAGATACAATAGATACACCAGATACAATAGATACACCAGATACAATAGATACAATAGATACAATAGATACACCAGATACAATAGATACAATAGATACACCAGATACAATAGATACAACAGATACAATAGATACAATAGATACACCAGATACAATAGATACATTATAGATCAATAGATACAATAGATACACGTAGATACACCAGATACAAAGATACAATAGATACACCAGATACAATAGATACAATAGATACAATAGATACAATAGATACAATAGATACACCAGATACACCAGATACAATAGATACAATAGATACAATAGATACAACAGATACAATAGATACAATAGATACAATAGATACAATAGATACAATAGATACACCAGATACACTAGATACAATAGATACAATAGATATAATAGATACAATAGATACAATAGATACAATAGATACAATAGAT